CATTGGAAAATGGGCTGCACATCTGGCCAGCAGGCTCCGCTTGGTTTTACAATTGCATTTGCAGAGCATCTCTCCCCTTTCCCAGTGATCCCACACTGGGCCAGAGTGTAACATGAAAATGAGTTTCCTTATCATTGTCACAAGTAAATCAAGTGTCCCCATCCCCTGGCCAGAAGGGGCTTGGTCACATTCACCTGCCATCTGGAAGCGGCTGGCACCTCTGGGCGGGGTTTTGAGTCCCCAGCCCCGCCCCTGGGGACTTTGTGAGGGTTGCACAGTTAGGAGAGAAGCTGGAAGCCTGCCCAGTGCTACCCAGCATCTTGTTTATTTTGTATTTTTTGCCATGCTGAGGGATTGAACCCAGGGCCTCACGACTACTAGGCAAATGCTGTACCACTGAGCTGTATCCCAGCCCTCGCTTTCCTCTTTAACGTGGTCTCTGCTTACCACCGACCATGCCCATCCATTCCTAGTGGCTGGCAGAGTTGGTGGCTTTTGTCTTAATCTTTTTTTTATTGTTAGCACTGCTCAGATCCATAGGCCTGTGGTCATGCCCAGGGGAACAGGCAGGGTCTTTGAGACAAAAGACAGCTAGCACACCTCGCTCTGTCCACCCTACAGGCAGAGGGGAGAGACATCGAACTCCGTCTGCGGCCTTGGACAGGTCACCTGCACTTCAGGGCTGCTCAGAGGGAAGATGCTGCCACGTGGAAAGAACCACAGCTGGTGGGAATGGGCTCTCGGGTTGGGAGCCAGTCGGTGCTCACTGCTGGGAAGGCACAGCGGCTGCCAGTCTGGGCACTGTGGAGGCACTGTGGTCCTTGTCATGGAGTCAGCTGCTGTGGCCGTGACAAGGCGGCCTCCACCAAAGTGCAGAGTGGTGGAGCGGGTGGCTTTGCCCCGTGTCTGAAGGTCCTGATACCAGCACTGCCCAGCTGTGTGGCTCTGTTGTCCTCAGGCTTCTTGTGTCTACAATGGGGGCTGATCCAGCTCTGCCTCTTCCTTACCCGCTGCAGTAAGAGCAAACAGGCTGCGGTCTGTGCACACCACAGGTGAGCTGCTGTGTTCAGATGTCCTGCAGGGCTTCCACATCCCCACTTGGGTCACCCTGTGGGTGCCAAGGCTGACCTTTGGCTTTACTGCTACCAGAGGCTGAATGTTGAGCCCCTCCTGAGCCCCAGGTAATTGCAAGGTACAGACAACGTGGTGCGATTGTGGAGGTTAGGAAGGCAAATCAGACACTCAAGGAATGAACTTTCCTCTCCATTCCTCGAGCTAGGCTGCGCCCCACACCGCCTTTGAGCATTCGGAGTGCTGACCATGAGCGCCTCTCTCATTAGCAACCTGGAGGAGATGGGGGCTGCCTGTTCTCCAGCCATGCATGGGTTGGATGGATAGCACAATGGCACATAAATCAAGTCTGTTTCTTTAATTCAGCACATGCCACTTGGAAAAACCCGTTTCCACAGAGGGTTTGTGGAAGAAAGGCTGAAGGGTTTAGGGTGCTCAGCAAGCATGGCCTTTGTTCTAGTGGACAAGTGCATTGGCCTCTGTGTCCGGTAGGAAATTGACCAAAGGACCACAAAGAGCTGTTCTTGTCTTCGTGGAGGACCAGGTATAAGCTGAAACAGGAAGGCTGCAGTGTTCAAAAAGACCTGATGTAGAAGTCCAGCTATCTGAAACCCTGTGTGACAAAATGCTACAAATGTAGTGGCCCAAGCCAGGTGTCCACCAGGACTGCTGTCACAGCTGAGGAGCCACTGGGGAAAGGTCCCTTCCAAGTTCACTCAGGTAGTTGGCAGAATTCAGTGCCTTGTGGTTGTAGAACCGAGACCTTCAGTTTTTTTCTTTTTGTTTTGTTTTGTTTTTTTGAGACGGGTCTCACTATGCAGTTCAGGCTGGCCTTGAACTCACTTTGTAGCCCAGGCTGGTCTCGAACTTGCAACGATCCTCCTGCCTCAGCCTCCTGAGTGCTGGGATTACAGGTGTGCACCACCACACCCGGCTGAGCTTCAGTTTGTTGAGGAGGCCACTCTTAGTAACTTGGGATCACTCCCTGTTCCTTGTCACTGGGGGGAGGGTGTCCTGTGACATGGCCACCTTCCTTCCTGAAGGGCACCTGCCACCTTCGCTTCATTTTCTTGGCGGAAAGGCCACTCTGCGAGGAATTGCACACCACGCAGGACGCAGGGGTCATGGGGCCACCACAAGAGTCCACCCACCATAACTCGTGCTTTTGAAACTTTACCTACAGACAGAAGCAGCAAAATGTTAGGTAAAAACCGCATCTTTATATCGGAATAAAGTTTAAGAAAAAAAAAACTAATGGGATGTGCCACACTTGTGTTACCACCTGTAGCTCAGCACCGATAGGAATGTTGGCCCAGCCCCGGGTCCAAAGCAGGGAACTGGACTCAGACAATGGAAAGGGACGTAGAGTCTTATTCAGTTGTCAATATATATATATATATACATTTTGGTACTGGGAATTGAACTCAGGACCTTGTGCTTGCCCAGCAGGCACTTGTGTCACTGAGCTGTATCCCCAGCCCTCAGTTGTCAATATTTAAAAAGTTTTCAGCATTAAAAGACATGGTCTTCTACTTAACTATTAACAAATCAGAACACTCAGTTACCTGGAAAATCTCCATCCCTACAACATGCAGGGAATCTAAGCCTTCTCGGAAGAAAGAGATTCTTCAGCCCATGTGACAGTCACTCATGGGCCACTGATTGAGCAGCCACAGAGTAGAGGGGTCTTGCCAGGGCCTCCACTCTGCAGCTTTTTATTGTAACTCCTCCACCGCTCCCACCTGGTGCCCGCCCCACCTCCCAAGGCCCAGCCACTGTGTCAGGATGGAATTGACTAACCGCCCGAGGCCAACCTAGGCTCTGCTGAGCCCATCAGGGTGAACACAATGGGGCACCAAAGGCGGAACACTATTTCTGAGGCTCATGGTTGATGGACCACTGCACAAGCTGCGATTATCATTTTAATTGCAAGGCTGCCTGAGACCTTATATTCAGGGTGCGTGTTTCAAAGACCACAAAGCCCTCCGCACGCTTAAAAGGGGCTGTAGAAAGGTCTGTGCTTCTGACTCTAAGAGGCCCATTGTGATATCCTGCGTTCTTAGCTTCCAGGCTGCAATCAAACCTGCCTAGAACGGAGAAGCTGACTCTATTTCAAGGTCAACGACAGGCCCACTTCCTCTAAGACCTGTGCTCAAACCCCTGGTCATTCCCTTCTTGAAAGTGTGGCTGTGGCTCCCCTTACTCAGCCTCCTACCTGGAACCCCTTGGAACTCACCAGTCTCTCTGATCTGGGGGGGAAAAGCCCCAGCAGGGAATTCTGACATCTCTTCTATGGCGTTTAAGCTGTTAGAAGCCTTCACACTCCACCTTACACTCCCAGTGGGACGCGCCACCCTGTTAACGGGTGAGAAGCACGTCCTGTGTTCATTAGTGACCCTTCAGTTGGCAGGGTGCTTTGGACAGTGGCAAGTGCTTTGCATGTGTTGCTGCTTGTACTTGGCATCAAAATGTTTACTCCATTAAGTTCAATTTCTTAAGCTTTTCAGAGTGGAAAACCCACCCAGCTTCTTTCTGTTTCATGTTTAGAGTTAAGTGGTATAACTCGTAGAAACCCTTATACATCCCTTGCATGCTTGATACACAACAGCTCTTATCACAGCTTAGAACTCATTACCCACCTGGGGTTCATGGCTTGACCTACAGTGACCAAAGCCAAGAGAGTCAGCCCTTTCCAGTGGGTGGTTTTGTTTTGCCATGCTGGGCCTCCTGCATGCTAGGCTCTACCACTCAGCTGTGCACTCAGCCCCTCTAGGATCTTGTATACTAAGGGATAGTGCACAGGCATACACAGGTATACACAATGCACAGGTATAGTAAGGGATAATGCACACACAATACAACCCATCCTCATGGATGGGTAGTTCTCAGAGTCTTGACAAACACCCAGTTTGCATGCAGCCTCTTCAGCTCTCAGTCCACCATGCTGTGATCAAAAAGGCCCTCATCCTTCTAGGCCCCCCACCCCAGCCTTGATCATGTCCCAGAGCTGCTGCCAGGGAAATGCCTTTTCCTGCCATCCTAGTCAGTCTAGGAGCTGCTTCCTCAAATGACTTTGACCTTCTGTAGCAGCAGTGCTGGGGAAGTGTCTTGGTTACTTTTCTCTTGTTGCAGACGAAATACCTGACACCCAAAATGAAGGAAGGAGAGGTTTATTTAGCTCACAGTTTGTGGAGGTTTCAGTCCATACTTGGCTGGCTCCAAGGCAAGGTGGCACATGGCAGAGGGCAACAGTTCATGGCAGCAGAAGATAGCAAAGCAGCAAGAGCAAAAGGGAGGAGTGGCAGAGAGGAAGGCTCTGTCCCTCCCTTACATTGTATGCAAACTACCTACGCCAGGGTGAGTGTAACACTCACACCCATAATTCCAGCATTAGACCATGAATCATAAACTCTAGAAGCCTGCCCCGTGACTGCATGAGGCTTTGGGGACACATATCCATACACAAACCATAACAGGGAGCAAGTCTCATTTGGTTCCAAGAATGTGAGAATGTGGCCAGGTCCTGACAAACCCAGGTGGGTTTTGCTACATTGTGGCAATGCATCAGGAAGGCAGCTAGGGCAAAGCTTTTCCTTTCAGACATCTGTAGAGCCCCCCACCATTGCTGCAGCTCATGGATGGGACAGGTTGACTGGGTGGGAGTGTGGGCCTCTCTGGGGACACAGTGTCTTGTCTTTCCTGTGACCCCAGTACTCAGCACAGCAAAGTGTTACCACACCTGACATCGGTGGCTGTTGGTTGAGTGACAGAGTGAGGGTCTTCGGTTGGAGATGGGGGCAGACCATGTGGACTTGGGTGGACTTAGCCATGCTCCTGGGTGGCTGGGGACAGTGGGAGAAATAACAGCAGAGGGGCCTCTCCACTGTCCCCAAGTGACCACAGCAGCCTCCCCACTTCTGTGCTTCCAGAACTACTTTGAGAGCTACCTTGCCATCGCCTCCACCGCGCCCTCCGTGCTATGCCTCGTGGCCAACTTCCTGCTGGTCAACAGGTAGGCTCCCTGGCCCCAGGCCTGGCTCCCCCACCTGCTGCAGCTGTGCTCCTGCTTCCTTGGTGGCCACCAAGTGGGGGACAGCTGCTTGGACCCGTCAACACATGTCAGGTCATTCCCTTGGGGAGGCACAGCGGAAGTTGGATTCTTAGCTTCCAGGCACGCATGGTGACCCAGTCAGCAGCCAGCTGGAAGAGTATGGGGACCCGGGAGCCTTCTGCCCTGCTCCTCTCAAGGGGCTTGTCTGGGGATGCCATGTGGATGGCACAGAGGGGCTGAGTTCAGGGCCCATGGGAGCTGTTCTTCTGGGCAGCTGAAAGCTGGAGCATCCTGCAGCCCTGGCCTCACTGCTGCCATGGGTCACCTTACCACCCAGGGCTCAGCTGGCAGCACCAGTGGTTATGTCCACCTCCTACAGTGGGGATTTCAGATATTTTGTTGGTAAGGGTAGGGACAGCCCCATCTGGGTGCACCACAGTTGGAATTATTTGGTAGTCAGCATGGCCTATAGACCCCATGTGTGACTCTTACTGCCCCTTCTCAGTGTGAGTTTGCAGGGCCATAGCCATAGCTACTTTGCCCGCATTTCCTAGGAGCTGCCACTGGGTGATAACAAAGACTTCACTGTGGTCCAGAAACGTGGGCTTCTCTTGGTTCCAGCCCACTGAGACCTCAGTTCACTGATGAGTTTTACTCAGCCCTAATCACTTTGTAAACTGCCAGGACCTTTGGCTGAACAGGATTGTAAGGCAAGTCTGGCCACGGGGAATAAACTAGGGTTGATTAGTGATGCCTGCTCTGGGTGCAAAGGAAAGGGGAGTGGCACCAGTGCCCATGCGTGCTAAGCCTGAATAGAGCTGTCTTTCCAAACATATCATGCTATGGAGTTGTTCCATTCTATTGTTTTATGACCCCAAGCCAAGTGGCTTGAAACAGTAACAATAGTTAGTTCCCCTCCTGTTCTGAGGGTCAGTCAGGCTTAGCTGTGGCTTTGTGTCCCTTGAGCAGTTGCTACAGCAGTTGGAGCCAGAAACCATGCCTCCTAACCCCCACCTCTCACCTGTGGGCCTCAGGGTAACAGGATTGTTCAGACTGGCCGGACAGTGAGTGTCCAAGACTGCCCGGGAAAACCTTCATGGGTTTGCAACCTGATCACCAAAGTCACCTAGTGTCGCTTGCTACACTCAGCTGATCAAGGCCATCACAAAGCCCACTCAGTTCCAAGGGGACGTAGACACCTCCCGTGGGAGGGTGTCCAAGAATGTGCCCCTCCGAGAACCAAGGTGCAGCCTGAAAGAGAAAGTGAGTGTCTGATGTGCTGAGGACCTTGATCTGCCCAGCTCCCTGGCTCTGGGGCTGCCATCAGTGTCCTGTGGGGGCACAGCCTGTGGGCCCCATGCTTTCAGGGGGAAGCGGTGGTGCTAGGAGCAGAGCCACCAGCCCCAGAGGGCAGAGCAAGGTCCCAGGCAGCCCCCAGCAGGAGGGAGGAGAGGGGCAACCCTGGTGGTAGAGAAGCCATGGCCTCCCGCCGCAACCTCTGTCCTCCAGCCCACTCATGGTCCTCTCTGCCCTCTGGCTGTTGGCTCCAGGGTCCACAGCGGAGGTTTATCCCACTAGGATAGCCCAGGCCATCCAGGCTATTCCCCTCCAGCTGGGAGTCGCCATCTGAATGGTAACAAGGGTGCCATGGCTTGCCACCCCCATTCTCGGCCTGCCAACTCAGGAGGGAGCCTGGGACCTACACCGTTTTCCCAAGGGCGGTCAGGGGTTCTGCCAAGACCACAGGGCCAGAGCCTGCATCTCCCCTGGTGCCGTCTCCTCCGTGGTTGGGAGCTCCAGCAAGTGGGAAGCGGCTCAGTGTTGGGGCTCAGAGGTAGCAGCAAAGGTCCACCTTCGAGACCAGGAGGGAGGTCACCAGTGACAGTAGGATGCACTTCTGAGCAGTCCTGTCCTGTACAAGTTCATATCTCCCCTCACGCAGCACACCAGGAGGAAGTTGTGATCGCTTGGCTATGGGAAAACAGGCCAACAGAGACACTGGCCCCAGGTGACATAGCCATTAAGAGGGGAGCCAGGATTTGTTCGAACTGTGACACCGCCTCCCCAGTCTGTGCTTGAAACCTCTGGGCCACCTGAAGTCTGAGTTTTGCCGCCCCCTTCCTGCTCCACCCCCACCCCAGACCCCAGGCTGTTGGGAAAGAAGGAGGGCACTGTGGGGACAGCTCAGCATGTCCAGGGCCTCCTCTAGGAGGGACCAGCTGCCCTAGGCCTGCCCCTGCCCTTGCCTGAGCTCTGGGACCTAGCCAAGGGCAGCGTGCGCAACTGCGCCCAGGTGTCTGACTGTTTCCAGGCTACAGGAGGACAGTTTGGGGTTCAGCTATTTTTTATTTAATGTGCGAGATTGAAGTGTCTCCTCCTCTCCCTCCCAGAAGGCCCTGGCTCTCTCCGACTGGCTCATCCATAATCGCCAAGTGTTTTATTATGTTAAATCTGCAGCATCATAAATACTCATGAGGAGGATTCACATTTGGAGACATATGAAGAAATCAGTCCCCTGGGGGCCTGAGCCCTCGCTGGCAAGGGGGTGGGATGGCAGCCTGGGTACAGCCAGCAGCCCTCTCCCAGGTTCTTCATGGTGGGGTGGCCTGCCTTAGGGTCACAGACCAGAGCTATCACCTTGGCCGTGCCCTGTCCCCGAGTAGAACCCCAGCACCAGCACAAGATGTTCCCCCAAAATCCCAAGAGCATCTCCATCTTACAGAGGGGGCAGCCAAGTGCTTTGTGGGTGCCGTGGGGCAGCTCGCACGTGGAATATTCCGGAAAGCACTATGATGGCTGGAAAGAGCACCAGGCATGGTCCCCAGGCCCAGGAGCCCATGGACGGCAGTCCTGGTGGTTTAGGCAGCTGGGGATGGGCAGGTGCAGAAGAGACCTGTGCAGAGGAGGGAACCTAGGAGGACAGAGGCAGCTGTCCAAACTGCATTGCTTTGTGAAGCACTGGGTGTTTGGCTTCTAGATCCCACTTCCCCATGCAGGGATCTGAGTCAGACGTCCCCTAATTTCTACAAAGCCACCTGCCCATTCAAGCAATGAGCTGCTTTACAGTGATCAGCACCCAGGAGGGCTCCATGATACGCTTGCATTCTTGCTGGACCTTCTCGTCACCATGTCTACGAGGAGGTGGCTGGAGGCAGAGGCTGTCCAAGCCTGGCAGCTGTGAGCACTGGATTCCCTGCCACATGGTGGGAAGCAGGTGGCACCCGGGATGTCTGGGCCAGTCTGAGAAGTGACCCCACACTGCTGTTTCTTGCTTGTGGGTTTGTGTGTCCAGCAAATGTTTAGCAGATACCCAAGGAACTGATTAAAACTTTGGGGTTTGCCCCCCAACCTCTGTCTCCACTTGAATTTCTTCAGATTGACAATCATCAGTTGTTGGAGACCTTGATATAATCTGTTCTGGTCTGTTTCATTTTAGAGATAAGGAGATAGAGGCCCAGAGAAGTTTACTGTTTGCCTGAGGTCACCCAGCACACTGGAGGCTGAGCTGGGCAGGGCTTTCCCCTCCTAACTAAGGTGATGTGTTTGCCAGCTCTTATCTTGGGGGTGCATGGGGGTATGGGGGCCTGTGTGACAGGGTTGAGTGTGTAGAGTCACCCAGAACATCAGGGCTAAGGCTTGAATGCCAGCAACCAGAGCACCTTACGGTAGCCACTCTGGGACCCCAGGGTCCAGCTGCTCCTCCTGGCTGCCCACCAGCCCTGTCCTGGCTGAGGACCCTGCAGACCCTGGGAAGATGGGTCTTAGTGGGCATCTTAGTTATGAGGCTTCCTGGAAATGGACTCTGAAACTAGGGTGTAAATGTGAGTAGCTAATGTGGGAGGTGAAGCCAAGAGCCACAGAAGGCAGAGAGGAAGGGAAGCACCGAGGAGAGGGCACCTTGTCCTCCCAGCCCACAGGAGGCAGTGCTAATGCTATGGGATCTAAGGGAGCTGGTTGGGGCACCTGCCCTGGACGCGGGGGGCTGGGTGTCGGTCCATCAGCCTTGCCATCGGTGGTTGAAGGCTGCACTTAAGAGTTGTTAGTTGCCTGCCACCTCCAGCCTGCTTCCTGCCAGTGTGCCGTGAAATAGTAAGAGGAAGGGCACGTGGCAGGAGACCAGCAGCATCTCTGGCGAGTTTCTGGCAGTGTTGTGCCCCAGTTGGAAACCCCGATGTGTGGGTATGCTCGGTAACAGATGGAAAAGACATGAAAGAGGACTTTCTCACTCTGTAATTGAAAGTTAAAGTCAGGTTGACCTTCAGGCATCATTGGATCTAAGGAATGCCCTCCTGCACTGTCCCTGAGGCCTGTGTCTTTGCATTGCCCTGTCCCCTATGCAGCCTTGCCCCACACAGCTGGCCAAGGGACACGAGCAGCCTAGATACACTCAGAGGAGAGCTGCTGTCCGCCAGTCCCAGGTATCAGTGTTGGAAAGCCCAGCGGGCCCTGAGTGGGTCCTGTGCTAATCTCTGACCCACCCAGTGACCAGAAGCATTGGCGTCATGACCCCCGGGCCAGTTCTTGTGCCACTGTCTGAGGCTGGGCTGCTGTGGGGGGACATGGCTGGCACCTTCTCAGGATGAGTTGGCATAGAGGAGACTCCCGGGGCAGGGATGCTGGCAAAGATCCCACATCCATTTGGCGCCCCTTTGGGTATTGAGTCCTGGGCTGCTCGGGGTGGACGAGGCCCTCCAGGGCGAGGCTGCGCATTTCTCCCTCTGCCCCGTCTCGTCTGCAGCCAGACTGCTTCATCAGTTCCCTGCACACACACGTGCTGTCCCAAGATGTGTGTGCTCATATCTTCCCTCTCGTCCTTCCGGTCCAGCGTAGGTAGCACCTCCAGGCAGCCTCCCCTGGCTCCCAGGGTGGGTTTGTACTCCATTGTGGCCTCTCTCTAGAGCACTTAGCACCATGGACAGCAACGCCTCAGTTGCTCCGTCCTGTGTCCCGCACACCCCGTAGTCTTTGACACTCAGTCGTTGCTGGGTGCATGTTTGCAGAATGAGCACCCATGACCAGAGTGAGCAAGAGGTGGGGACCCAGCATCCTGGGTTTCCCTCCCAGCTGCCTTGGACTCTCCAGGCCCCAGCCTCCCCCTTCCCCTCACAAAGCCTACACACAGTACCACGGAGGATCTGAGGAGGCTTGACTTAGCCTGGGGCCACAGAAGCACTTGGCAAGCATCCTTCCCTGTCTCCATTTCACACCTATTCATGTCCATAGATCTCTGTGTTTTCTACCTTTCAAGTTTGTCTTTCTTTTTTTATCCAAAAAAACCTGTGTGTATCTAATCTGGCTTTTCTCTCAGCTATGCCCCCCCCTACACACACACACACACACACACACACACACACACACACACACAGACACTAGTTAGCGGGGAAATGAACTAAATACCCAATTTGGTTTCCAGCTTAGTCTAATCTGATGATTGAAACAGACTTGGAGATGGTGCTGTCTCTCCTAGAATAAAAATGTGCCCTTTCTCCAAGAGCCTCCTTCCTGCCTTCCTCCCTGGGTGGGTGGGGGCTGGGAGGAGCGGATGGCTGGGATGTGGGGTAGCATTAGGGGCATCAGGGGTTCCTGGCCCTGGGCAGCACTAGCTTGTGCCACTCAGAATTCTTTATTCCAGAAGAGGCAGCAGAGCATTGTTCTAAGAGCACAGATAGGAGCCTGGCCCTGGGGTCATGGCTGAGTGACCTTGGGCAAGTTCCTTACCTTCTCTGACTATAGCTTCATTTCCACATCAGTAGGCTCTAGGAGAACACCTGCCTGGCAGAGGTGTGAGGGAGGGAGCAAGGGAGACATAGAAAGCATTTAGGAGAGTGCCTGCACAGGGCACAGGCTAAAGCCTGCCTGTGTGCCATGATGATAATGATGGCTTCCCCTCCCCCACAGCGCATGGCTGAGTTCTGGGAGGAGGAAGCCCAAGCAGCCTTGCTCTGTCTGAGCACTGGACAAAGCCAGCAAAAGTGCAGCACTTCGAGAGGAGGAGCAGAGGCTTGCCTGGCATCTCACTCTTATACCTCGCAGCCAGGTGCAAAGAGCTATGTCCACTGTGTGTCACCTCCCAAGAGGCAGCTCAACTCTGCACTGTGGTTCAGGTGCAGAGGCTGAAACCAGGGCACCTGAATCGCTTTCCAAGGCCACGCGGCTGGTGACCAGGCTGGTAGGAGGGGTGTCTAATCACTTCTGGCATCCTCATCCCAGGGTTCCTGTCCGAGTCCGTGTCCTGGCCTCACTGATCGTGACGTTATCCATCTTTGTGGTGATGAGCGTGCTGGTGAAGGTGGACACTTCCTCCTGGACCCGAGGCTTCTTTACTGTCACCATCATCTGTATGGCCATCGTCAGTGGCTCTGCCACCATCTTCAACAGCAGCATTTTTGGCCTGACCGGCTCCTTCCCCATGAGGAATGCGCAGGCACTGATATCAGGTGACAGCTGGACACACAGCTACCAGATTCTTCTGCGGGGTCTGGGGAGTAGCAAGGGAATACTCGTGGTCTTTCCAGAAAAGGAAATGCACGCTGTGCGCCTTTCAGCTTCCCCAGACTTTGTGGCTTAGAGTAATTTATTTTGGTCACAGATCTGTGACTTGGGCAGGTACAGCTCTTTTCGACTCCTGTCCATGTGGGCCTTGCCGTGGCTGCCTGGGCTTGCTCGGGCATGGCATGTGGGTCACAGAACAAGTGTCCCCAAAGGCCTAGGCAGAACTTTATTTTCGACTTGGAGTTGTAGGGTTACTTCCACCAGAGCCTTCAATTGCACTAGACTCCAGACAACCCAGACCCACGTCAGAGACCGGGGAAATCAGGCTGGGAGAACAGGCGGGGCGGGAGCCAGCATTGTAGCCATTTATGTAAAACCAGTCTGCCCTCGAGGTGCTGTTTCTGAAACCAGCCTTACTCTCTTTCCTTCCCTCCTCCTCCTTGCGTCTTCCTTTCTCCTATTCCTCTTCTGTGTTTCCTCCCCTTGCCTTTTTCCTTTGTTTTTCCTCCTTTTCCCTCTCCGCCTTTTCTTTTCACATCTTATAGCAGAGTTGCCCTGTCCCAGGGACTCAAAGATGACCGAGCACACATCCTCGAAGAGCTGACAGCTGAGGGAGCAATCTCCTTGTCCCCCAGACTGTGACATTCCTGGAGCTTGCTCACACCGGCTTGGGCTGACCCCACTAGCTGGATTTTGATGAGGATGCTAAGCCTGTTATAGGCACCTTGGCTGTTTTGTCTTTCTTCCACACAACCCCACCAGGTAAATAGGGCCGAATCATTAGCATCTGTGCATTCCCAGGAGACCTTGGCCTCCAAAGCAAGGTGGAGGAGTGCTGTGAAAACTACCCTGCTGGGGGGAGGATTACATGAGGAATCTGCACCACACCCATTAGTTGTCAATGCCAGGTAGGAGTCGCACGCAGGCTGACTAGGAACCTTGACAAGCAGATGTTCCCTCCCCACACCACACCAGTGCCAGACATCACTAATAGATCTCTATCTTTCCCTCTGAGCCTCTAAATCCTTCTCCATGCAGCACTTGAGGCAATTACTCTCCACGGATCAGAGTCTAGATGTGAGCTGCAGTCTGTTTGCCATTTTTGATATAGGATTAGGCTCTTGGCTCTATCCTGGGAAACCCTTGAGCCTGAAATAAAATAAAAATGAACTGGTTGCTAAGTTTCCTGAGTATAGTCAGCATGCCCCTAGCCCCGCTCCAAGAAAGGAATGGGCTGGGGGAAGTGGCTATCACACCTTAATCCCTTCTGTCACTCCTGGCCTCAAAAAGAGCTCTTATCCTGCATCTCCTTCCCTTCTGCTGGAGGAGTCCTCCATGTAACTTCAGCCATGCCAGCCACCTGGCCAGGAGTCAGCCAGTGACCAAACACACCACTTATTTTGGCAAGTGGCCCCTTTGGTCCCTCCTCTACTGCCCAACCTTCCAGGACTGAGAGTCTCCTGTGAAATTTTCAGAGTCCATTTTTACAAAGAAGTAGTAGCCAGACATGGTGGTGCATACCTGTAATTTCAGCACCCTGGCAAACTGAGGCAGGAGGATTGTGTGTTCAAGTGCAGGCTGGGTGATTTAGCAACTTAGCAAGACCCCTTCTCAAAATTTAAGTAAATGGATAAATAGATGGGGAAGTTTAGTGCTTAGACCTCAGCATCAATTACCAGGATTCCCACCATTGTCATCCCTGTGCTGGGCCCCTCATGGGCATGTGACACCCCAGAACATCAGAAGTGTCCCGAGCTCCCAGAGACACCGGCTCCCCTTGATTTTTCCATCCGGAGGAGCCCATCTGTGAATTCTGCACATGTTGGCATCTGAGAAACAATTCATTTGTTTTGTGCTGGTGTTTTTTTTCAAATCCCTCATTTGCATGTATTTCCATAAATGATGAGATAAAAGTAGGGAGTCATGAAGGATGAGCTCCCGGAGGCCTGCTTGGCTGTTGATGATAATATTGTAAATTCTCTCCAAGTGGGAAAAGGAGGGGGCAAATCAATAGGCAGGATGTTCAGATCACTTCCTCGGGCGGCCCCCGCATGTCGTACTGCGCGTCACCCCACTTCTTACAGAACGCCCAGGTGGGGATTACTGCTTCTCAGAAGTGGGCACCCTCTTGGCAAAGGGTTTACCCTGTTGTTGCCGCTTTGATGTAGGAAGGACAGAAATAGCCCAATACCTAATTGGGAATCAGAGAGGATTTATTTGGTGTATCGTACTTCTCTGTGTCAGGCACTGTTCTGAGTACTTCACCTATAATAATCCCCTTCATCTTCCTAACAGCCCTCAGAGGTGGGTACTGTTAACATTTTATAGATGAGGAAACAGAGGCACAGAGAGGTTAAGGGACTTGCTGAAGGTCACACAGCCAGAAGTAATAGAGCTGGGAGTCGCTGCTCTTCATCACTGTGCTAATGTGTGCATCTCGCCTTCACTGAAGTTCTAGTTTCTGACCCCATCCAAGCCAACAGAACTCAGACTGGGGAAGTTAGAGGTAATGATCATCCATTAGGGCCATGGACTGTTAGTGGGGACCCACAGAGACGTGAAGTAGAGTGTGGGTGAGGCACTAATGGTGGATAGGGCCTCGTCCTTCCCTTTCCACTCTGCCCACGCAATAGCAGGCAGAAAAGTGGTGCCACACACACATCCACTTGCTCTGGCCTTTTCTTCTCTGTGAGGCTGACATCCCACAGAGACATCCCACTGCTCTGAAGGGAGCAGATGTGCTCATTCAGCCCATCAGACACCGTCTCAGGCACTTCCAGTACTGAGAACTGTGGTCCTGTCCCAGGGTCTCGTATGATGAGCAGGGTACACATTGACCTCATTTTCCAGGCAGCTAGACAGAGTCTGGGGAGAGTGAATGATCTGCCCACACAGCAGGGCTCCCAAGCCCTGGTAATCCAAGGATTACCGGGATTCCCACCATTGTCATCCCTGTGACAATGGGAATTAATTGGGAATTCCCAATCCTTGGCCAGCATGAGTTGACTCCTCATGGCTGTGATGATCCAAAAAAGTCACCCTGGCTTTGAGAAGGAACCGTGTGATTGTGGCCGGGAAGGGAACCAGCACTTGATGACAGCTTGCTGTGTCCCAGGTCCTTTCCCAGTGTCATCTGTCAGTCTTCAAGGCAGAGGTATGAGCCAGACATTGTTGTTCCCATTTCACAGATGAGCAAACTGGCCCAGAGAAGTCACGAGAGCACCAGTGTCACAGCTAGCACGACATAGAGTGAATGTCACATGTACATCTGGTGGGCTTCCGGACCCACTATCCTCCCACTATCCTATCATGCTGCCTAGCATATGATGGGTGTTAGGTAGCCATGAGAGGTGTGATGGGCACCTGGTCACATGGGTCACATGCATGGAAACCCTCAGCAAGAGCAGTGTTCCTTAGCAGGGGCTGTGTGCTGTGCAAGTGTGCGTGTGTGTCAGTGTGCATGCGAGTGTGAGGCGTGTGAGCAGCGGTATGGTGAGGGAAAGACATTGCCCAATAACCATTGAGGCCATGGCCAAAGCTGAGGTAGGACCATCTCAAGCTGCTTTCCTGCACAGCTGGTGGGTGTTTTGTGCTGAGGGCGAAGGAGAGGAACTCCAGAGCTCTCTGAAAGGTCTCACCTGCACCCAGGCCTCCTAGAGGGGCAGGAAACAGGAGAGGGACCAGGCAGGGACCAGAGAGCAACCCCGCCTCCAAAACCTGAGCACTCAGGCTGGGACCCTCCCTGTCTGCTGTAGCCTCAGGATAACGAGAATTTGGGTGTATTTTACATGGGGGGGGCAGTTTTGGTCTGGGCAGAGGTCCGCGGCTGCACCTCCCCACGTGCACCCGTGACTTCTATGGTGTCCTCTCCTCCCTGCAGGAGGAGCCATGGGAGGGACTGTCAGTGCTGTGGCCTCGCTGGTGGACCTGGCTGCATCCAGTGATGTGAGGGACAGCGCTCTGGCCTTCTTCCTGACGGCAGTTGTCTTCCTGGGGCTCTGCATGGGGCTGTACCTGCTGCTGCCCAGGCTGGAGTACGCCAGGTGAGGACGCGCTAGTGCCCTGCTCTGCTCCCGTGCACAGGGCTCTGCATTCTTTGTCACCTCATTGCATTGACGTCCGATTCTTTGTTTATTGCCTGTCCCTGTAGGAGCAGAGTGTGAGCTCTGTGAGGGTGGAAGCTCCTGTGAGCTTTGTTCTCCTCTGAATCTCAGGGCCTCCAGCTGTGCCTCGCTCACAGCATTGGCTAATGTAAGACCCTGGATGGGGCCGGATCCCCAAATAGTTGAAGTGTGCAAGTTTGAGGACAGGGAAGTCAGGCTACAGAAGTGAGGACTGAGCAATAATAATAATAAACGGTGGTGCATGCCTATAATCCCAGCATTCTGGGACGCTGATTCAGGAAGATGCAAGTTCAAGCCCAGCCTGGGCAACTCAGCAGCTTATGGAGACCCTATCTCCAAATAAAAAATAAAAAGGGCTGGGGACAAAAGCCAGTGTGAAGGCCCTGAGTTCAACCTCCAGTAATGCTAAAAAGAGAGACAACGAGAGAAAGGGTGGAAAGGAAGGAAGGAAGGAAGGAAAGAAAGAAACAAAGAAAGAAACAAAGAAAGAAACAAAGAAACAAAGAAAGAAACAAAGAAAGAAAAAAGAAAGAAATTAATTGTCATTCTCTGGCCACCCCTGCCCCGGCAGCAAGCTCAGCCATGCTGAGTGTGTCAAATCTCACCACTTAATACTCACACACCCTTGTTCCTCATAGGGTTGATACTCATTACTGTTCCAGTGCACGAATTAGAAAACCAAGGATCAGAGCAGTCGAGCTGCTTGCCTGAGTCCCACAGCAGGCAGGCAGCAGAGCCAGGATTTGAACACAACTCCAGACCTGTCCTTCTAACCACCCACTGCCCTGTGCAGCTTCTTTCCACCCTGGGGATCCCTTCTCGTGCCTTGAGTCTCCCTTTTGCTTTCTGTCTCTAGTTCCTCCTTCTCCTTTCTTGCTTCCTGCTGCTCTTTTTACAAAACCGTTGGCTTTCTCTCCTGTTTCCTTCTTTTCAAAGCACTCTCTTAGCCGGTCGTTGTCTGATGGGGGGAATGCAGGAGTTAGCCGCAGGTGAGGACACTGAGGCCAAGATTTGGCCAGGTGGTCTGCCCCAGGCCCCTCAATATGAGCAGCAGGGCTGGGAGGTCTGTCCTGACTCTGCCCTTTTTTGTAGAGATCTATCCTTTGCCGCAGCTCTGAGCTTAGCAGTTTACATGCATATTTTTTTTATCACTTATGACAATTTGTGTCATTATTGTAGTATTTTGCCACTTTACAGATGAGGAAACCAAGGCTCAGGGAGTTACCAGACCTGCTCCCAGGTGGCTTGCTGGTGAACAGCAGCAAGAATTTGACCTTGGGGCCATTTCCAGATCTGTATCTGCAGCCTTCCTTGTGACCTTAGGGTCTTTCTGCTTCATTCCTCCCGTCCTTGTGAAGGGCACCATCTCGTTGATCCTCGGAACACCCTGCCTCCACCAAACCCCAGTCCTACCCTAGAGGGTGGGTTGCTTTTCCCAGGTAAAGGGTTGTACGTCTCATCACCTGGCCTTGGTGGCTTTATGAGGAAAGGAGGCTGAGCTACCCGAAATTCACAGTCACCCAGGCATGGACAAACTCAGGAGCCAAAACTGCCCCACTATGGTTCCATGGCAGCAACCCTGTGACTCCTGAGGTCTTGCTGGCTCTCTGGTGCCCCTAGACAGCCTGACACCTTGGCATGCTTATGATTTCTCTTTTTAACTTTGAGACAGTATCTTCATGCTAGGTAGCCCAAGCTGGCCTCAAGTTCACAATCCTCCTGCCTCAGCCTCCTAAGTACAGTGATTACAGGCACATGTCTCCACACCCTACATGAAAATATTTTTGAGTGGGGCAGAGAATCCCCCACTGCCTCCCTTCTCTACATTTGTTTTGAGGGTGTTTCAGGTACATCTGGTACCAGCAGTATAGCCAACCTGCCCTGGTCACCTGGGGCTTTTAAGCAAAGCAAGACAGATGGTCACCCCTGTTTCCATTGCATTTGGGCAGGCTGAGCCTGGAGCTGAGCACATGAGAAGAAACTCCAGGACCTGCTGCCCTATGCAGTTTCTGTTTCCCTGCTGATTAAAACCCAGGCTGAGGGTCCTGGCTTTACAGAAACCCACTGAGGATAGCAGGTGGTGCCCAAGAGAGCTGAGCTCCTGGGGCTGCGCAGAGGAAATCTGACTTGAGAGGAGGCCCGGGGCTGCAGACTGCGAACTTAGGAGGAGGAGCTCGGGCCAGAAGAACTTGGTGGACAGCTTCCACAGAGCCAGAGCAGCGGAAGACGAGGACCTGGGGCTGTGGTCACCTATTCGGAAGAAATACAAGTGCCCCTTGGAGGTCAATAGAGCCGGTTACTAGGGTGAGCAAGAGTAGTTCAGGGGAGAGATAAATTGTTGCTTCCTATGCAGGCAGCAGTTTATAAATATCCATGAAAATTTTTTTTTTTTGTCTTTGAGACAGGGTCTCACTATGCAGTTCAGGCTGCATCAAAATTTTAAAGGTGCAAATCTTTTAATCCAGCCACCTCCTCTTCTAGAAATGTGCCCCACCAAAATACTGGGCTGTACATGCAAAGATTTATGTATAGGGGAACCCATTGCACTTTACTGGTAGTAGTGAAAAACTGGAGCCAAGCTAAATGTCCATCTACAGGGGAGCAGTTGGCCTATATATAACACACGGAGCTGTTACCCAGCAGCAGGACAGAAGACATGGGGTCATGTGTCCCTGGGGAGAAGGACAGTCACAAGGCAGTGTCCTTTATTTACTGATGCAATCAGTAAAACCTAACTGGGGAGATACCACAGGACAAAAAAAGAAAATGGAGACCTCTAGGCCAGAAGGCTCATTACATTCATGTATACAAGTAGATCTTCTGTGGGTCCTTATTTGAAAAAATCAGCCGTGTACAAAAAAAAAAAAAAAAAAAGAAAAAAAGTTCATGAAGCAAAAGGGAGAAGGAGAATACTGTCTAGATCACTGATGCTTTTTTAAAGATTGCAGAGATGTTTAACTCACACCGCATAAAGAAACAACATGTGGGTTGGAAGAAAGTATTTGCAGACCATGTATCTGATAACGGGCGAATATCCAAAATAGATAAGGAACTCAGTAGCTAGAAAAGAACCTAGTTTTAAAAAACAGGCAAAAGCCCTAAATAGATATTCCTCAAAAATGACATGCAACTGGCCAACAGGTGTGAAAAATGCATTTGTGTATGCATTTAGGGATAACATATATTATGTATGTGCATTTAGGAGGAATAGTTATGCATGATTAAGGTTTAGTGTTATTTTATAATATATTTAGACATTCTGTCATTGCAGAAAGTCTTCCATATAGTTTTACCCCACTTTTGCTTCAGAACCAAAACTCTGTGTGTATGTGTGTGTGTGTGTGTAGTTTTACACAAGTGTGGGAAAGTGTGGGATGTGACCTGCCAGGTTGTTAATGGTCAGTACTATTCAGGAATGAGATTAGAGGTAGGGAGGAGTGAGAGTTTCCTTTCTACTGTACCACTTCTCTATTATTTCAGTTCATTGCATCAAGCATGTTGCTTTTATGATCTTAAAATTTCGTATTTTTAAATGCTATTTGATTTCTACCTCCCCCCTCCAAAACACATGCAGATGAGCCAGGACAGGCGCCTCAGCTCAGCGTGTGGTAGTCAGGGCTGGTCTCTTCTGTCCCTGCTTGTGGCATGGCCTCCACCACTGACCAAGGGACTGGAGTCTAGCTTAGCAGGCAGGCTGGAAACAGCAAGGGTTTTCCTCTGGCCACCCACACCAGCATGAATCATCTCAGGGAATCTGGCTGGTGGATGTTCAGGGGCCTAGGCCTTGTGTTGTGGGCCTGAGGGTGCTGTCCTGGGCACCCACTACAGCTGTGCAGAATCTGAGGTCTCCCACTCCTTGTCCCTGGAAGTCCCAAGTGAGCTGCTCTGTGGTGGCCGCTAACCACACCCCTGCTCTCCCTGCAGGTTCTACATGAGGCCTGTTGGTCCTGTCCGTGTGTTTTCTGGTGAAGAGGAGCTGCCACAGGACTCCCCCCATTCTCCTTTGGTGGCCTCCAGGCCCCTTGGGTCCCACACACCACCCCTACGACCCATCCTAAAGAAGACCGCTGGCCTGGGCTTCTGCATTGCCTACCTCTTCTTCATCACCGCCCTCATCTTCCCTGCCATCTCCACCAACATTGAGTCCCTCCACAAGGACTCAGGCTCACCATGGACCACCAAATTCTTCGTGCCCCTCACCACCTTCCTCCTGTTCAACTTCGCCGACCTGTGCGGCCGGCAGGTCACAGCCTGGATCCAGGTGCCAGGCCCCAACAGCAAGGTGCTCCCCGGGCTGTCGCTGCTGCGCACTGGCCTCGTCCCGCTTTTCATACTGTGTAACTACCAGCCCCGCGTCCACCTGACCACGGTGGTCTTCCGGTCCGACGTCTACCCCGTGCTCTTCACCTGCCTGCTGGGGCTGAGCAACGGCTACCTCAGCACCCTGGCTCTCATCTACGGGCCCAAAATTGTGCCCAGGGAGCTGGCCGAGGCCACTGGGGTGGTGATGTCCTTTTACATATACATAGGCTTGATGCTGGGCTCAGCCTGCTCGGCCCTGCTAGAGCACCTCATCTAGGAGTGGGTGGCAGGAACGTCGGTGCCGTGTGAGGCTTTGGGCCCCCGGGAGATGGGCAGCAAGGACGTGGAGGAAAGGCTCGCATTTCGCTTGGTGAAGAGAACAGAGCAGAGTTGGGCCTCTGCTCTCCCAAGATGCCGGTGAGCCATGTCCTTGCCCATCCTGTGCAAGGAGAAGCATTCCAGACACTTTAACAGAACTCGTTAGGGACATAGGAAGAAGGCAGTGACAAAGAGGGAGGCAAGCTAAATGTCCCGCTTTTCATACAGCTACCTTCGTAGCTCACAGGACACCCTCCGGTGTTTGAATCTGAGTTGTCACCAGTGCAGAACCCAGTGGTGATGCTCTGTATTCTCCCAGAAAGATGGGAGAGATTCTCAGCCCTCCCTTCTCTGATGGGGCCCCCTGGAGTGGAAGACCCCCTGGGATGGCCAGTCCTCAGGCCCAAGTCCAAGCCTGCACAGACCCTAGTTCTGTAGGTGAGTGGGTGCTCACCAGCCAGACTTTTCGAGACTGGAAAGCCCGAGAGATGGGCCTTGCTGAGTGCTTCCTGCCTGCCGCAGGGCCCAGAGGCTCCCCGGGGCAGGGTCCGAGTTGCTCAGGCCTACGTTCATTATGGCCTGGTTGGCTACAGCCTGGGTCAGGGCTGGGTCTTTTAACGTTTATGTTTACAACTTATCAAGGCCACTGGTTCAAGGGCCCAATAAATCCTGGAGTATTCAGTGTAGCCTTACTGTATCTGTATTGCACAGGGTTTTGGCAAGAAGCATTGTACGAAGATTAGGTGATTTGGGGACTTTTTTTTAGTTTTATTGCTATCAGCACACGTTTGCAGTTCACAATGTCTACATTCCTTGTGGGGTGTTGGACATGTGCGTAACACATCTTAATTCTTTTTTCATCTCCTTCCCCACCCCTCCCTCCATCTCTTGGTCCCCTTCCCTTGTGCAAAAGATCTATTTCTTGAGGACATTCTGAAAGCAGGTGGAGGAACCCCAAGTGGTGGTGTGCAGTGTTCCAGAACTAGGAACAGGCTCTTCCTCCAAGCCTGAAGGTAGAGGGGAATGAGTGACCCTGGAGGCTGGAGATGTGACCTTGTGATCTTGGGGTGAGGAGGGCCACGTCCGGCCTACTGAGCCTGCAGGAGGAGCTGAGGATGCTTTCCTGCCTTACCTCCTGCTGTCCCCTCCGCGTCCTTAAGGACTGAGCCATAGTCAGCAGCAGGTAATGACGGTCATAAAGGGAGTGGCCAGGGAGCCAGGAGGTGAGTAAACCTCAGCCGCAGGCGTCGCAGCCCAGCTGGCACCTGGAGCTTCCCAGGCTCCCAGTTTACAGATTACAGCGGGGCTCCAAAGCTTTGCTTGGCAGAACTCAGGTAGCCCTGCTGTGGTTCCGTTCTGGCCATTGTGAATGTTGAAGTGTGGCTTCCAAAGCTGGCGCCCAGGTTCCCCTGGGAGACCGTGGCCCTGCCATTTGTGATGACTGACGAACAGGAATTTGGTTCTGAGGTGCCCTGAAGGCACCCACAAGGGTATTCCTCAGGGAAAGAGGCTCCTTTAGGACCTGAGAGCAGGAAGCAGATCAGCCCAGGAGCTCTTCCTCAAGACCACGGGGCAGCTTCTGGAAGTGGCGGCCCCAAGAACTGTGAGGGAGCCCTGTCCTCAGGGAGGCTGCTCCAAGTTGTCCTGTGGACTGCTGATTAAACCGAGAAGCAATGGTAATCCACCCGGTGGCAGCGGCTTATGTCCCCCACCGTCACAGTCTGGTTCACACTCCCTCTCTGTGGCTGCAGAATTGAAGCAGACACCCTTGAGAGGTTTTCTCAACTTGGTACCTTCAAAGAAAGAAAGAAAAAGAGAGAGAGCGAGAGAGAAAATAGAAGAAAGAAAAGAAAAAGAAAGACAGAAAAAGAAAGAAAAGAAAGAAAGAAAGAGAAAGAAAGAAAGAAAGAAAGAAAGAGAAAGAAAGAAAGAAAGAAAGAAAGAAAAAGAAAGAAAGAAAGAGAAAGAAAGAAAGAAAGAAAGAAAGAAAGAAAGAAAGAAAGAAAGAAAGAAAGAAAAAGAGAAAGAAAAAAAGAAAGAAAAGTGAAAAAGAAACACTCTTCCCTCCCTGGCAGGAGCCCAACCCTGCCCTCCCCCGCCATGGTGTGGCTAATTTGGGGCGTGGGTCTGGCAGGTGACTCATCTGGCACATGTCCGTGTTAAAGCAGAACAGCAGTGTGTGAATTGCCCACAGGAGACCACCCTGCACCCTGGAGATAACGGGAAGGAGCAGTGGGCAGCTCACATGCTGTGAGGGAGGTAGCCAGAGGTGGAGGAGGCGTCCTTGTTGGAGAAGTGATTTGAAGTCAGCATGTACTGAAGGGGCAAGAGGGTGCTGCCTGGAGAGGGTGCTGCACCCGCCTCGCTGGAGGGGGTGCTGATGTGTTACCTTAGTTGGGCATATTACAAAGGTTCGTTCCCTTCCAGGGACAGAGGAAGGGACACAAAGTACGTGTCCAGGCAGAGGGGCTCTTTAGCGTCCTTTGCTGGGAGCAGCTCCTGCCATTTGGCCCCTCTGCTCTGGGCTTGAGTCTCACGTGACCACAGTGAGTTTGTGAAACCAGCTTGAGCCATGGCAAAACTTGCTAAAGGGAAGGGGACTTTGCCATGTGAGAGGAGGCTGCCCTGAGAAGTTCCTTTTGTCTAGTCATTCGGATTTCATCCCAAGCAGTGGTTACTAGGCAAGGCCTGTATGTTCCCGGACTTGACACCTTTCTCTTCTCCCTTTAATCAACAGAGAAAGCCAGGCCCTCTGCAAAAGTGCTTGTTCCCGTGTGCTTGGGGCAGGAGGGGCCTGGAGCCTGGGGAGGGTGTCCAGAGCCCCTTCATCCCTGTGCTCCAGGGAGATGCGGGGCTCTGCTGCCTTGGGAGGACACCATGGAGCCCGGCTTCAGGACCACATGGACACCGTGGTAGAGAGCTCCGAGTAGAAATGGGGGACAGGGGCAAGCCCTGGTGATATTTAATTTAGGTTGAGCCCCGTGCTCATCCCAGTCCCTGGGCCTGCAGAGCAGAAGTCTCAAGCACCTATTTTACCATTTTTGTGTCCTGGTAGCAGCGTGGGCAGTGCAAGCTGTGTCCAAAGCCCAACGCCCAAGTCCTGTTGCCCCTCACCCACTGGCTGAGACCAGCCCAAACCTCAGGCCGGCTTTGACCCCGGGAGGAGCCCAGAAAGAATTTCAGTCCCACCAGCAGGTGCAAGGTGGGACTGGTCATGAAGCCAACGGACCCAGGGTCCAGAATGGCTGTTTTATCCAGCTGGTTTTCCCAGGTTCCTGTCCAGCACTGCCCTGGGCTGGGTGTTCCACCTGTACTATTGCCCCGTCTGTGGATGGACATGGCAAGGCTCAGAGAGGTTTAGTAACTTTCCCAAGGTCACTCAGTTACTAGGTTAGACAGGAATTGAGCTGATGTCTTTTGAAACTCACACATCCTCACCTGCCCTGTCCTCTGCTGCCCTGGTTGAGCCTGAATTTTATTTCTGGACTCCTGTCACTCCTTTCCTCACCATGGCCTGGCTGGGGTTTTGGTAGGTAGATGGGTTGCTCAGAACCGTGGCACTGGCCCTGGTCGGAGTGGATCCGACTAGTGTAGCTGGCCAGACCCCTGCTGGATGGGACCCTACAGATCCCAAGCCTGACCCGGATTAGGCCCCTCTCACCACTTCCTGTTGGGCACAAGAACTTGGGCTGCTATCAGTCCAGTCTTAACCTGGCCCCTCTTGGTCCTCCCCCCCCCAATGCCACCCTCTACTGTGCAGGTCACCCAAGCACGACTAGCTGCTGAGGGACCTGCCTGGGGACAGAAGGCTACGGGACGGTCTTGGAGGTCAGAAGTCTTGCTCCCAGCCCCACCACGCACAGGCTGAGTCAGTCTTGCTGAGTCTCATTTCCTTATCTGTACAATGGGGATAATAGTAAGTCCCAGACCTGTGATTGTGTGTGTGCCACTGAGCCAGCTTGTCACACGGTGTCACACCCACTACGCAGCCCACAGAGGCCAGGCCTATGCCAGGGCTCACAGCCAGTGACCCGAGAACAAGTGACAGGCTGTCCTGAGCTTGACCTCAAAGGACAGTGACAAAAACGGCCATGTTCTGTGTCTCCACGACTCCAGCCAGCTGACCCACTGGCCCTGCATACCCCACTGAGAACAGTTCCTGCCCTCGCTGTGAAGTTTGAGGCGTACCGGAGCCATTGCACACGTACGGACAGTTGCAAGCTTCAGTCATCAGACTGAAGTCGAAATGGTGCTTCCGTCACCTCCTCACTGGGTCACTTTGGCCACACCCTGCCGATGTCCAGGCCTATAGAAAGATGAAATGATTCCCAGTAGTGTAGGTGAGGTACTTGATACGTCTTATGTCCTCACCAACTTGGTTTTCTTCCACATTTTGCTGCTGCCTGCAGCTTGTGATGTCCTGGTACTTCCTTGTGGCTGACTGTACCCCGTACCTGGTGCTCAATACCACCCTTTGCCTGCCTATACCACCGCCTCCAGTTCTGATGTCCAGGCCCCTTGCCTGAGTCTGCCTGCCCTGACCTGGAGGCAGGGTGCACTGGGCAGAAAGCTGAGAACCCAGGCCAAGCTCTGCCACTCACTTTGTCCTTTGAGGAAGCCACTTCATTTTTTTTCCTAAGCCTCTCTTAGCCTTTCCTAAGCCCATTCTGTCTCCATCCTGAACACACAAGCACAAGCACAGGTGCCCTTTAAAAAACGGCCATGTCCCAGTGTGGTAGTGCGTCTGGACTCCAGAGGCAGATGGCCTCGTCTTCACTGCTTCCTGGCAGTATGACCACAGGTAAGTTCAGCTTCCACCTCCTGTTTCTCTGCATTGCTGTGGTCCAAGGCACTGAGAATGAAGCTGCAATAAACTGAAAGCCCCCCACCCCATTTACATGTTGAAATCGTAGCACCCAAACTGATGTTAGAGCCCTCATGAAAGGGATCAGGTACTGAAACCTCTGATGAGGGTATCAGTCTAACCTACCTGGCAATATGGCACACGGATGCAAAAGAAAGACAGAATATTCTGCAGCTGAAGAGCTCTGGATGACCCAGTGTTCTCTGTAGAACAAAAGGCCTCGTCTCCAAAACTTCATAGCTTTCACTGGTCTCAATCAGGGAGGTGGGTGGGAGTGTGGCAGAGTGCATAGGGAAAAGAAACTTTGTAGCCATACCAGTCGCAGAGGTGTCCAATTAGCAATGCACAAATAGTTTTGATGTATGCAAGGCTGGTACCTTTACTGCCAGGAAGGTATTATTCTTTCTGAGTCCCAAGGCCTCAGCTGGGATGTTATCTCAAAATAGAATCTCACAGGCTCCTACTCGATCCCCCATTCCCAGCATCAACGTGTGTTGCTGCTTTGCTATTAAGGAGACCACCAGTGCCTCCGCCCAGACTCCATAACATTCTTTTAGCCAATTAAGGAACATTTGTTTCAATACAGCCAGCTCTGCATAGCTCAGTGAATTGGGTGAAGGAGAAGAAGTCAGGGACAGGTCACAGCAAGAGCTTCGTTTCTCAGAAGAGAGCAGTGTGGCAGTCTCCCACAATCAGAGACCTTATAAAACTGAGCTCTCAAGAGAGCTCCCCCATCCTTCCCACCATGTGACAGCAAAGCAAGAGAGTGGCCACTTGTGACCTGGGGAACAGACCCTCACCAGATATGAAATCTGTTGCAGG